ACCATAAGTAGTCATTAAACTATTATTTCATAGTAGATTTAAAGCTCGGAGGAGGTAGCCATTTTAAGAAAAAGGGTTGTGGATAGATCGTATAGTAAAAGGAAAAATAAATAATTATAAAAGTTGTTTAACCATGTTTTCACAACTTTGTCATATTAGTAGGAAGAACTAGAGGAACGCATCTAGCCCGGAGTCCATAGAATGCATGATAATTTACAGAGTCGGACATAACAAGACATTTCACCGGCATCGTAGTCGGCATTGTCAGCGAGTCTTGTACCTCTTACCACCACACTACAGCACGTCATAGACAAGTAAGCTGATCCTTAAACCAATTGTCTGTCAAACAGTCGTAGTACCTCTCCTGCCCTGGGCTAATCACCAATCCTATATCCTAGTATCATGCCTTCACTATCACAATTTTTGCTTGCTTATTTAACTGTGGTATTGTGTGCTTTTTAGAGCGGCTTTCATAAGAACTCTTCACACTTCACGCTGGCGTTCTCACCCCCTTCACCCTTGTGGGAATACTGATCAGTCTGACATATTGTTACGCAGTCCTCCTTCTCCAGGTCCTATCAGTCTCCCTCTTGCCCCGTAAGATTCGTCTGCTATCTCCCTGATTCAAGTATTTCACTCGACCCCTGTCTCTGCGACTCGATACGTTATTTCCCACACTCTGCGCCTATGGAGACTAACTTGAGGCTAACATCCCTGAGTAATTGTCAGGGCCTTCCAAGCCACGTCTATGGTAAAACAGTAAGTCTCGAAACTCCACCTACATACGAAAAATGGTAAAACAGGCCTACTATCAGCCAACTAGCCCTAGTCCATGCCTCGCCTATCCTATTTATATACCTAATACCAAGTGTATGACTTTTTATGCCCTATTCCCCTGCGTGCCAACCCCCAAATGATGTGGTACTGTTTGCTTTAATTAGATTCAATGCTGAACCCCAATATTTGTGGGTTGGCACACAAGAGACAAGGGCATAAGATGTCATAGACTTGGCGGAGACTAGAGCTAGTTGGCTGACAGTAGGACTGTTTTACCATAGACGTGGCTTGGAAGGCCGTGACAATTACTCAGGGGCGTTAGCCACAAGTTAGTCTCCATAGGCGCAGAGTGTGGGAAATAACGTATTGAGTAGCAGAGAGAGAGGTCAAGTGAAATACTTGAACAAGGGAGATAGCAGACGGATCCTATGGGGCAAAAGGGAGACTCTGATAAGACCTGGAGAAGGAGGACGGCGTAACAATGTCAGACTGATCAACATTCCCAGAACAAGGGTGAAGGGGCAAAGAACGCCAGCATGGAGTGTGAAGAGTTCTCATGAAAGCCGCTCAAAAAGGCACACAATACCAGTTAATAAGCAAGTAAAAATTGTGATAGTGAAGGTATGATACTAGGATATAGGATTACTGATTAGCCCAGGGAAGAAGGACAGATACCACGACTGTTTAGCAGACAATTGGTTCGGCTTCACTTGTCTGACAGGCTGTAGTGTGGTGCTAAGAATGACAAAACTGTTAAACATCAGGTAATGTACCACGTCCACCGTCCGAATGAAAATTATCATGCATAGAATCGACTCCGGACTAGGTGCGTTCCTCTAAGTCTTCCTCCTAATATGACCAAGCTGCGAAAAGAAGTTGAGACAACTTTTTTACAACGAAAGGTGACTGCGGCCACACCATATTAGTCTTCATACCTTCAAAAAATAATTAAAACTTGCTTAGAGTGGAGTTACTTGGACGTTCATGGATAAACTAGTATTCTACGCATAATTTATCGAAAAATAAGGATGTTGCTCAAATGCAAGGGGCCTCATCCTGCAATAAATATATGAAGAGCTCAAAAGCTTCAAAATCAGCCCGTTAGAGGACAGCGATATTGCATCAAACACAATTAAATATCTTGAAACAAGATATTTATCGACTTCATTTTATCCAAAAACTTATGAAAGGACCATAAAAAGGAGGACGTATTGGAAAAATTCAATAAATGTAGGAAACTTGGTAAATAAACAGAAAACGATGGACTAAATAAGAAATCAGAAACGATCAAAGCAGCTTACCATCGTTGTACTCAGGTCCTCCACGCCGAAAAATCTTAAAAACGCCACGTCCATACAGATTCGATAAGTCATTAATTAATCCGGTACCAGGCTGAATTGATCCCAAAGCATACATGGTGTAAGGGAAAGCAAAACGAAATCCGACAGCAGCAGCCAGCATCTCAGCACAGATCAGGATGTTCTGAATTCCTGCAGCCACAGTTCCAGAATTTGTGTTGGGTAGAGCTGGCAGAACCTCAGCCTTCTCCATAATAACCAAAATAACGCCTATGAAAATGAAGGCATTATAAATTAGGAAAGAATAAAGGTGATTTTAGAAGTAGTTGTACTGATTACGATTATTAATTGAGGCTGGAGACCATAATTTTCCTTAAAGTGGGAAATATTTGTTGGTTGTCGTTGAAATCGATAAATGCAACTCGAAGGTAGTACTCTTGCTTTCTATTACTTCATAAAATAAATTCTTGGTCCCTTTTCTACCATAGAAATGGAAACTGATAATGGAAAGAAGACTTAATCTACACTTATGAATTGAAATCTAGCTGGAAGTGATGATGCTGTATATAAAGTATCAAAAATGTAGTCCTATTTTTAAAATAAACAACTATTGGAACATAGCAAGAGTTAAAATTAAAGAAAAAGATCCAGTTTTATATTCAGCTCATAGTAGGCAGATAAAATAATTATCTAAACAACTAGTTAGGAAGTGACAAAGTCACTTTTAAAATCATGCAACGAATATAAAAAGATAAAAACGGCAACAAAAAAGAGCTTATAACATTTCGAAAAATAAAATTTTACAAAAACAACTTTTTGAAAAGTAAACAAAATAAACAAATCAAGGCTAAGCACAAATCCAATGGCATTGGAAAGCCTATAAATGACATTGCGAGAAAATCAGGCATGCTTCATTATCCTAAACGGCCTAGATTGTTTAAAGGCCTTACTCAGGATCTACATATTACGAATACAAGAAAATCTATCAATTATATTGCAAAAACAACTTGACTTCATCTAAAATCCTATTATTAAATGGGAGACCCAGATAGCCCCGAAAATCACCCCGTATAATAGCCTCCTATCCCCTGTAGCAGCTTAGCGTGGTTATGATAGAAACTAGGGAGAAACTGCAATCCAAACTCAAGTAAGAAGCCATTTGAGAGACAAGACA